TTAATCTATAGATTCTCATAATCAGTGTAAATAAATTCAATTATTATTTTACAATCAAATTCATAATACGATTCAAATGTTAAGTTAAATCTAAGTTTAGTCATTAAAATTGTCTTTTGAGTCAAATACCACTACTTTTAATTAAAACTTACTACAGTATACAGCGTTGTGTTTATTAAACTATTAATTTAAAAGCAACATTTTACTAACTATAAAATAATGATAAAAGATTGTCATTTAAAAAGATCTTTAAATACTGTAATAAAATTTGTTAACATTTAAAGAGTGTTTGATATAAAGTTTTTCAATACAAACACACAGTGTATGGAAAAGTGAAAAATAAAAGTTTACGTCAAAAAAGTTTTGTTTAATAAGTTTACGTCAAAACTAAATTTAAAATCCGTTTTGTGTGACAATCAGTGTTTACATAATCGCAGACACAATGAGAAATCAATTGATTTTAGTGTTGATTGTCATCGCATTTCACCTCAAATACGGTAAACCAATGAATTTAATCTATAGATTCTCATAATCAGTGTAAATAAATTCAATTATTATTTTACAATCAAATTCATAATACGATTCAAATGTTAAGTTAAATCTAAGTTTAGTCATTAAAATTGTCTTTTGAGTCAAATGCCACTACTTTTAATTAAAACTTACTACAGTATACAGCGCTGTGTTTATTAAACTATTAATTTAAAAGCAACATTTTACTAACTATAAAATAATGATAAAAGATTTTTGTCATTTAAAATGATCTTTAAATACTGTAATAAAATTTGTTAACATTTAAAGAGTGTTTGATATAAAGTTTTTCAATACACACAGTGTATGAAAAAGTGAAAAATAAAAGCCGTACTAAAGTGGACAAAAAAGTGTGAATTTGTTTCATAAGTTTGCGTAAAAACTAAATTTAAAATCCGTTTTGTGTGACAATCAGTGTTTACATAATCGCAGACACAATGAGAAATCAATTGATTTTAGTGTTGATTGTCATCGCATTTCACCTCAAATACGGTAAACCAATGAATCAATTATTTAAATGCCATTAAAAATATATTTATCTTATTGTCAGTCAATACCAACGCGTGTTATGTCTGTAATTCAGTGGACAGTGACAACTGTGCCGTCTTCGCCGCCAAGAGTGGCCAATACGTCAAGAGCTGCACCCATAAGGCTGACCATCGCTTCCAGACATACCACGGATTGACCACAAATGGCACCATTGATGGCAACGCGAGTGAGTCATGCGTTCATTGACCTATAAATTGACACTTTTATGCCATCAATTGTCTCATCCATTTGATAATTTCTGAAACACCAGTAGCTTTTGGTTACAGCTTCGAGTTGTTGGGCGCCTACAAAACCAAACGGCACTCCCTGTGCCTTAAACTGGTGTTCACTGGTTAGGCCACCAATGCTTTGTACAGTACATCCAATCAATGAGTTCTTTGTCCACCAGTTGAGGGCAAACCGAAGCGAGTGGTCGGCGACTGCGGAGGACTGGTCTCTAAGGGAGGCGACGATCGCATGAATGGCCGACATTCAGACGCAAGACTCGCGTCGGAGGCGTGTCTTAGCGGTGATAATGATTGCAATTCAAGCCACCGAAGAGTACATCAAAACCACTTTTGGGTCAATATTGCCATATCTGTCATCATTTCAATCAAATATTTCTTTAATTTCGCTTAAGATTATCGTTCAATGACTTCAAACTATTCGTACATTTCAGTGATGAACGCAAATAAAGATAATAACAAATGGATTAAAATAAAAGACATTTTTATTTCCGACAAATGAATTGTTTATCGAAATAAGACTTTTGTGCCGAAGAGGACAACCGTTTGTGTCGTTTGCGATCGAAAAGCATTTTGTCCTTAAAGTTGATGCCATTGTTCTTGTCGTTAGCCTTCATGGCCATCAGATCCGGCAAATCGTGGTTCACATCCAAGACATCGAAATGAGTGGATTCCGTCTCAAAGCCAAACGACTTCTTCACTCTCTTCGCGCGTCTCTTCACTAATGTCTGGTCTTTAGGATCGGATTCGTTGTCCTTCTTCTTGTCGTTGCCATCCATTGAGATGTCATTCAACAGATCGGTCGACAACTTCTCGATCGTCGTCTCATTCTTCCGAGTCTTTTGTTGACAGTATTTATCGTTAATTATCTGTCGTTTACTTCGCTTCAAGTCGTTGTACTTCTTGATGGCATTCCTCTGGTTCTCAAACGTCGATACAATCGCCTCTTTGGTGGCCTTCACGTCGATCTCCTCGGGCTCTGAGCCGTCGCTGTCATCGATGAGTGGGTCCATTGACTGCTTCGCGTGGACTGTGATGTCGTGTCTGAAGACAATTCAAGAAGTCTTAACCAAACAAACGATAAGACATTTAAACCGCGATTCAAATGACAACACGTTTTGTGAGTGTTTTCATGTGATCTACCATTTGGTGCCCTCTTGTGGCCAATCACTCGACTCAACCAAAGTTTCAAACTTTTCTCAAATCCTGTACTCAACGCCTCCTAAACGCCTCCTAAACGCCTCCTAAACGCCTCCTAAACGCCTCCTAAACGCCTCCTAAACCCATAAATCATATATAAATTCATAATTTGTATTAATTTTGTGAATAAATCGTGAGTTAATCGCAATTAAAACCAATTAAACCTCACATTCAATGCAAACTCAAAAGTTTTGTAACGCTTTCAATGAGTGGCTCTCATGTCATGTGAGAGTCACGTGAGAGGCCTATGGATGAGATAAATAGCGATTATTTTGTGGTGTCTTTGATGTCAACAAAATGTTGATTCAGTTATCGAAACTCATTGCAATCACAAGACATCCACTCATTTACAGATATGTTTCAAATTGTCAACAATTAGTGGACAATAAGTATTCATATCTCGACTCAAATGACCGCAAAGTCTTTGATTTGATTAAAGACTCGTTTCGAGTGATCGACGACTTTGTGACCGAAGAGGAAGAGCAGTGTCTTCTGCGAGAGATTGAGCCATACGTTAAGAGATTGAGGTATGAGTCGAGCCATTGGGACGACGCTATCCACGAGTACAGAGAGACTGAGCGCTCGGTTTGGACACAAGACAACCAGAAGATCATCGACAGAGTGAGACAAACAGCGTTTCCCTCGGGAGTGGCGCCCATCAGATCCGTTCACGTCCTCGATTTGGCCAAACAGGGGGTCATTAAGGCTCACGTGGACGCTGTCAGAGTAGGTCCTCATTCGGTGATCCACTCAACCATTCATTCATTCATTTTTATCTCTATTTTATGTGACAATCAAATGAATCGTTGGATCAGTTCTGTGGCGACACTATTGCCGGCATATCGTTGTTGTCCTCATCTGTCATGAGATTAGTTGATGAGAAGGACAGCACACTCTTCGCGGACGCCTTACTTAAGAGGAGATCTTTGTATATAATGTCGTGAGTTATGAGTCTATTGTCCGCCTATTGTCTCAAATGAGTGTTGAATTGATTTTACGTATGATTTGATTGATTAGTGGTATCTCGAGGTATAAGTTCACGCATGAAATCCTCGGCCAACAGATGTCCAAATTCAAGGATCAAGTGATAGAAAGAGAGCGAAGAATATCTGTTATTTGTCGCAATCAACCCGATTATAACCAAACAGATGACTCCGAGTCTAGTCTTAAATAACTGTTAATACCGTTACATGTCTTGTGTTTTAAGAGTTTTTATTGTTTTTTGTTATTTATATTTAAATAGACATTGAATTTGACATAAAAAAAGATTTCAATCGAAATGCAAACTCATAATCAGAAACATTGCGGCCATTAATCGGCTTTTATTGATGGGATTCATGTCGTCGGCGAAAGTGATGCTCAAAACCGGTAACTCTTTGTTATCGCCGGCAATCCTGTCGTCCGGAAGCGATGGTCTGATTTCTCCCACTTTATTGCCGCCCAAATGGATGTCAAACTCCTGGTCTTTCATGAAAAACGACATTTTCCTCCGCGAACTCACTGTAAGTACAGTTCTGTTGTTCTCGTCGTTCACTGAATACACGGCACCGAAGGGACGGATGTTTTGAGTGACGGTTCCAATGGATTTGGACGGCTGTGTCATCACTTCCATGCGCTGCACAAAACTGAGACACAAAGAGTTGGAGAATCGCAAGAGTTGGCGGAAGAACAGCACTTCCCGTTTGAAGGGGTCGTAGAGTTTGAGGTCTGTCTGTTGGCTCTGGCCGTACATGAATCTGATCTTCAAATTGATTCTCTCCTTCGCGATGAGCACCAGATCTCCCAAAATGTTTCTCAAGAGATACACTCTCTTCTTCTTGCGCTTCAGGAACTCATTCCTCGCGATGTAGTGCTCGGAGACAAAGATTTTGTTGATTCCCGACAAGACATCCAATCCGAGCGGCAGTTCAGGAGACGCCTCCTGAGGGCTGTACTTCTGGACCCAATGGCCGTATTTGGCGCCCCAACTCATTCTCTTGTATTTAGTGCTATCGACAGCTAAAGTGATTTTTCCCTTTTTGTTGATCAGATCCATAGGAATGGCGGTTACCTTCGACTCCCTAGTCATGAGTATAGCCAACTGTCCTTTGATGGGATTCTTGTCCACGTGAACCACTTCCTTGACTTTGTCTTTGTTTGACTTCTGGCTTGGAGTTGGCGACGGAGGCGGACGTATAGGTGGGGGAGGAGTCCGTGGGGGTCCAAACGGTGGAATCTTTGGTGGTGTGGTTAAGAGCTTCAGGGGTGAAGTCGAGAGGTTTGACTGTGAAGTCATAGGCTTTGGTGGAGATGTCGAGAGGTTTGGTGGTGCGGTCGACAACTTTGGCGGAGAGGTCGTGAGCTTCGGTGGTATTGTCGACAGCTTTGGAGGTGTTGTCGTGAGGTTTGATTGTGAAGTCGGAGGCTTCGCATTGTTTGTGTTGTCGTCTTCAAGGACTGACTTTTGAGTTGGAGAAGACATCGGTTAAGAGTAATCTAACGATAATAAAGGCTATGCTTTGAAATAATGTTGAGTTAGAGAGTGAAACGGATTTATTATTGGAAATGCATTTCACGCGATACTGATTTGCAATTTTACTTACGGCAAGAGATTTACACTATTTTTAACGTTGAATTACGGTTTAATTTATATTGACTTTGACTGAACTTATAATTCTCCAAACAATTCAGATATATTTTGATTAAAATGAACTAACTCCATTAAATACACTTATTATAAAAGTTATAAAGTAAAACTTTTTTTGTTAACAAATTTGATTAATCACAAGTTTTAGAAATTGATTAAATTTATATGCGGTATATTTAATAAAACATGCAATCATGAAATATATACGGAAATAATCAGAGTTAATATAGTGTTAAAACTTTTGAGAGTGTAATGAGAGATAAATGTAAATATGAATGACTTTTCTTATGGCAAAAGTGTTTCAATAGTTTGACTCAAAACTTACAGACTGTAAGTTACAGTCCTCTCAGCCTTACAGTGCATTCACGACACCCTAACCTCCAGTTCCTTCACTTCTAACGATCTTTAAGTACATACCACTCATTGGCGCCTATATTTGATACAAATTAAAGTAATCTAAACATGAGTTTGAAATTATAAAAAATTATAAAGTTTTTAGTTCAGTACACAATTAAAGTACAGTTAAGTTATGTTCAGAAAAAGTAAGAATTTATTTTAAAGTCATGAATGAATTTAGTGGTTATTAACGAATAATAAAACAATTGAATTATTGTTAGGTTTGAATTAACTAATGAATAAAAATATATTTATAATTTGTGCGCAAATCATACGCTAATGACTTGTAATTAGGGGTTAGTCTTAGCCATCATTTGCCGGCTTTCTTGACATTAGGCGGCGGCACGAAAACTGTCTGCGCGTCCGATGGGATGGCCTGAACCGCCCCTTTTGCCGGCACAGGAGGCGCCCCTTTCTCTCCATCCTTTTGATCCAATAGTTTTGCATCACTTTTGCTCTTTAGGGTCATACGTCTGAAGAGGAATACAATGAGAGCGGTGACCATCACGTAGACGATCAGTAAGACCTTCGCAACGTATAGAACCCCTCCATACGGCTTGCCTGAGGGCACAAGAATTATATGATAACTAGTGGTAAAGCCAGGGATTTAGGTATGAGTTTACTGCTGGCGACGGCATTCCACGCCATACAGAATCCTTCGGCACAGAGTAGGGCCAGACATCCGATGAGATGCCATAATATGAATTGAGATTTACTGACACAGAAGATGCCGAACAGCGCGAGACAGACGACCACCGCGAAGACAATGTAGCCGATGAGGTGCAGCAAAGACATCAACGGATCAATTCCGGACTCACCGCCCGATTTGTTGTATCGCAACACATACCACACCATCATTGCGAACAATAGGCACAATAGGATCAGTAGACCATAAAGAGACCACTTCTTGAGTTTGTCTTCGTTGTTGGGAAAGTCTATGATGTCGTCCACAAAACCCATTGAATGAGATAATAGTCCGCAAGAGATTTGAACTTAGATTTGAATTAACAGATTGTTAGCAGAAATAAGAGTACATTTGAAATGTATTTCACGCGACAAACCAATCATTACAACTATAATTGTCACCAATTTTTCATTGTTTTCCATCATTTCTATGAGTTTTATAAATTTGTTTTGTTTTCTAGTAAATTCTCATTTATTAAATTGTTTCTCCTTTGATACTAATTGAAACACAAATTAAAAATATTATAATAAGATTTGTAAACTTTCTGAGCTATTATAATAAATAATAATTTTGTCCATAAAATATACATGTAAATATTACCAGGGAAATTATTTGTTAACTTTCATTGAATTTGATTTGTATGGAAATGTGTTTTAATTTTATTTTATAATTCATTCATTAATTCAGAATTTATGGAGAGAAAACTTTATTAAGTAAGAGATATCATATCACTTGTGAAAATTAAAAGTAAAAGACAATACTTATTGTAATACTGTACCAACAATTCAAACTATAATCGTCACATTGGCTCTCAAATACAGTGTAAGGTTATGCTTAAAACAATCCTTACATTATGCAAAAAATTATGGAAATAGTCACTTATATGGACTTATATGGAGTTTGGGTGGCGTTAGGAGGGGGTTATGTTTTTGTTTTAAATTGCAATTCAGATTTCATTTACTGTATATCAAGTACTGTATTAGATACACCATGAATTTTTGTATCCAGAAAATATGAATTTAATTTACAGAACGCTACGATAAATCATAACAAACTGGTAGTCAATAAATACAAGAATTTGTGTTAAAATAATAGAAATTTTATTGAATGAATTGAAATATACAGTAATGTGAAAAGTTATAAATATTGAAAATTATCAATGAAAAAATTTCAAATATTTGCTTAAATATGACAATTTAGTCTGAAATGAATGTCTGCATTAGCGTTGAGTGCGAAGACTAGTCGTTGAAGTGATTTCTTTGTTACCGAAACCGGAAGCACCCTTTCCTTTGCCGTGATCTGAGCGCATACTCGTTGACGAACCCATGTCCTTATCACCGACAGGCGACCCTACCTTTCCTTTGCCGTGAACTGAGCGCATACTAATTGTTGAACCCTTTTCCTTATCACTGGCGCCCGGGCTTCCCGTTCCCCTGTCGTGAAGCGATCGCATACTTGTCGCCGAAGGACTTCCGGCCAAATCTTTGTCCCCTTTATTCCTATCATTCGTGGATCGCATGGATTCTGTCGAAAAGGACGACCCTTTGCTTGCGGCCAACCGAATGCCTGACCGATTGACATCCAGTCCCTGATCGGCGCCCAACTGTCCCGTAGTGTTTAAGTTATCGCCCTTTCGTTTGTTTCGCGAATACACGACAGCGAAGACAACGCAGATAATGGCCATCAAAATGATTGCCATTAATAGTAAAATAATCCAAAACCAAGAGTTATCTCCGCCATCGATGGATGTGTGAGGAGTGGTATTCAACGGACCACTAGTTGTCGTTTGGGGAGCTCCTGGCACTGGCGATGGACTTGAACTCGAACTCAA